TAGGAAGGAATTGCCTGCGCAAAACTGGAATTGCCGCGAAGAGTCTAAGGGTTTTCGCCTAACCCCTACGGAAGCAGCCTACAGGTGAACCAACTTTTTTTGTGCAGAAAGGATTCTGCAGTGCGCTCCACCCTAGGCCGGCCTACCCGTAACATTCACGCAACCAACTGAAGGAGCTTTCCGGAGCAGATTGGTTTCCTCCCTTTAATTCTGTCAAAAGGACCACAATCCTTCATTATCCGCTCACTTACAGTCGGTCAGTTCCAGCAAGGGATTCACGTGAATAAACTACTGTCACATACAATAAAAGCCATTCCGGAAGTTATTTAGTTAAAAAATGTTGTATTGAAGTGCAACCTTTAACAGAAGCTCCCGGACACTAGATAATAAAAAATATAAAGCCTATTTTCGCCGTTGATCAACCCCTTTCCAGTATGCGACACATTCTACTTAAATTCAGAATTAAAGTAACTTCCTGAATGCGATGTGGCCTATATAATCATTTGTGGTGCCAGCCGATCCCCCCAGGAGACAAATCTGGTGGCTGGCAATTCACCGTCCCGGAGTAGAAGGCTTGGTTGGTCTGGGCAGGAGCAGATGCGGGATTTGACCCAAAGACCGCGAGTGTGGTAAGCGTGCCTTTAGCCACAAGACCCGCCTAAGGAGATCGTAATTACTCACGGGAGAAGAGGGTGGTATTCAGGATGAGAAAGAGGTTCGATTTCGGACAAGCGGGGCACTTCTTACTGAATCGCGTCCACCTATATCATAGAATAAATTCTAAAAATGAAGTAGTGTAAACAGCGAGCCCAAAGCGGAAGAAACGGAAAATTCCACACCAGCTCTATTACGACCCCCCCCCCTCGGCGCCTTATTGGTCCCCTTCCTGGATTTCAATGTTTTATTGTTTAAAAACATACTGTTTTCTCAAATCACAGCTCATGTACAAGTATAAGAAGAAAGTGTAATGGAATGGAGATTGAAGAACAACGGATTGAAACGAACCATTTAGTGGCGCGACTGCGTCGTGGCGCTCCGAGATCGCCGGGTGCAGATCGTGTTTCGGCATCGGCATCCGAGTCTCCTCCATTGCTTTCAGTTTCCCTCATCATGGCATCGCCTGAACTCTCAAACATGAACGAATCGAACATTGCATTTGCCCCGGCTTCTCGCCAACCACTTGAATAAACACACAATGACGAATAACCACGAAAATTTATACGAATTCGGACATATGGCTGGCTGCAACAGCCGTCTGACTGATTGGCTGGCCGGCCGCCGACACGCACACGCACATATTGTTGGAAGGATTAGTTCAGAAAACAACTGCAATCACACCACTCTACATAACAACGAAATATGATGATTGATAAGCATTAAAACTAATAATGTTCGATAACACCACAGTAATTCACTGATATGATGGTTGAAACGTGGAAAAAAAACGCTCGATCAGTAATGACGAAGAGCCAATCACAACTGAAAAAAAGAACCAGATTCAGGCACCATACACGGGCAGATGTTTTGGTGATCGACCTTTCTCAACTAGTAACTTTGATGTAATTGTGATCAATGACCGACAAAAGTGATTCGCATCACTTCACATGGTAAACAAGGTGATAGAGAGATGGCGCGAATGCATGTGTGGCAGTAACATAGGCGCGCCCCCACAACGTGGGAGAGAGCGCTCCGAGTGAGGAGGCTGAGCGACTCAGACAGGCCGAGGAGACCGGAGGGCAAAAGTGCGAATGTGGTCGCGTGTGAGTGCGTGTGTGGCGAGCAAGCTGTCGCTGCTTGATGCGCTCCAATCGCAACACAACAATTTGTCGCTTTTGTGGTTACACAGCAGCAACTTCGCCTGAATAGAGACTGACGAAGCCGGGTGTTGAGTGGGTAGAAGTGTAGGACGATTGGTCAAGTGCAAAGAAGGGTAACATTATTTGAGGAGGCGTCGAACAAATAGAATCACGTGCGGTGGCGATAAATTGCCGCCGAGGCGATGTCACACGGACGATCATCTCAATCTCAGATGTTGCCGGCCAGCTAGGCAGCAGTTTCATGCCAGCCAGTCAGGCAGCGACGAAAACGAATGAGGATGAGCAAGCGAATGTGCCCGAGCACGACCAAGGAAGAAAACGTGAGCGATCGGTGGCGGACTAGAGAACGTGCGCCTTGCCTCAACATGCGTTCGGCTCGTCTTCGACGCGATTCTTCATGGGATGCACTTCGTGATTGACATAGACGTCCCTTCAACATACATACTACAATCATCCCTCCTCTCACACACAAAAACACCATTCATTTCCTATTTTGAAAACGTACAGATCTGCATCTGCACCACACGTACAAAAACAGACGTAACAATTGAGCTCTAT